GTAACACTCAATTTTCAGAATGTTCCTATGAAGTTACACATTTTTGCAGAATCTCTGGCATTTCAGTGAGGACTTGCTTAACAAATAAAAACTACCATCTTTAAAATATAATAATGTCAGGCTGAAAGGGATGAAACTTGATGGAACTGGTGGATGTGACAAGAATCCCTTGGGTCAAAATAACAGCAGTTACTGTATTTTCCTTGAGGCAAGAAAGACGAAAAAGCCACAATCAAAACCCCTGGGAATAGTTTCCTGGCAGATTTGCAAATAAGCTGAATGATTTAGTCAGGTATCATTTTAGATTAATTGTGTGCCTTTTTAACCACATTTTCTGGTGGAAAAAACCTAAATGATGGATAACACTTCATATCAAAGGGGCAATCTGCTATATATTTTGACTAAAAATTGAAATCAACAAACATACAGAACAGACTCACCGAAGGGGCATCCAAAAGCATTTCTTCCACAGTTGTTAAGTCTAAACCTAGCCTGAGACTGAGAACTTCAAATATGTATTTATATGAAGCATCAACTTTTTTTCTTCGATATTCTCTTGCTTCTTTGTATTGAGCCTAAAACATTAAACATCTTTCAAACTAAAAATACACAAAGCAATCACAACAATGACCTGCTACTTAACTTGCAACTAATGCCGAAATCTACTGTCTTGTGTTATAAGAATACGTAACAGCCCTACTCTTTAAAAAAATCTAAATTTTCAGAGGCTAACAGAAGAACAAATTATTAAGAACTATTATAAAACATAAAGTCAACTCTGATGATATTTCAAGGAAAAGCAAATATTAAATATATTACAGCTAGATTTTAAGATATTTCTGTGCCATATTAACTGGTTTTATTTTTCACAATGAGTATTTCAATTTATTATATCAATACAGAAAGGTCACAATATCAATTTAAAACTAAAGTATCTAGAGTGGGTAAATATTTGCAGGAACTAAGCTGGGTACAGCTTTGCTTCAGTGCAAATTATTCAGTTAATATCTCCCGCTTCCTTCCTTTACTTTAAAATAAAATCTTAAAATACTGCAAACATTAAAAACAAAGACTCACTCACTTTCTATCAGGAATAATTTAATAAAAGAATTCAGTATAAACAAAAAGGAAAAAAGAAAGAAAGAAAGAAAAAGAAACAACTAATATAAACTGAGTTTAATGATCTAAGAAAAGAACCAGAAATCTATTTCAAGACCTAAGATTGAATACTAAACCTGTTTTTCTTTTAAAACTTCTTGCAAGGACAGAACTCCACTAGTGCTCCGGCAGAACCTAGACAACCTTCGGCTTGCAATAGAAAAAGACTCTTGGGAAGAAGAAAAGCTTGCTATTTCTCGAGTATGGCGAATAGATCTGGCTACAACATCTTCTAGTGCAATGGGAGCAGGCACAGAACATTCTGCAGTGAGATTAGACCCAGCACTATTTGCGGCAGCAAGACTGGGCCCAGCATCTTCTCCAGTGTTTGAACTTGCTTTATTATTTTTTTGTACCCCCTCCATTTTGAAATCTGAAATTTGCAAAAAAAAAAATAAATCTGCATTTATAACAATCCAGATTTTTCAAGTCCATCTTTTCAGGAAGACTGGAAGGAAGAGCAAGGTAGGGAATAAAACCACAAAAAATGAGAGCATCTCAAAACCAACTTCCCAGGTATATACATTTAATAGTCTTATCAAGTCCTCTTCAAGTTCTTAAGATAATAGACATTTATATACATTTTATGATAGGTTACAAATGTCAAGCTGAAGATGATTACAGAAATATTTTTTAAAAATAATTTACCATATATTTATATTTCATGGAGTAAACATCTTTCTATATAATAAATAAAATTCTTAAAATATTAATAGTCACTAAGTATCTGATTACTGAGAAACAGAAATATATTTAGAATATAAATTATTTGTTTAACTTTTAGTTTGCAAAATATACACACACATTTAGCAACTGAGCTTACAAAAAGCCTTGCATAAACTTCCGTACCAGGTCTTAAATCATTGCTCACATAAATACTTTCACATGATTTTTATACAAATACCTCATCATGCATAATATTTTTAACACGTGTGTTTGCAGAAGTAATGCAAAACAGAGGGTGGTGGATAGTATTTTTTTCAGTGGAAAAAAAATTAATTTACCATCAGACACCTTCAGCATAATGAAACAGAGTCAGATTTTCTCTTCATTCTGTGCCTAAACCCTGGAACACTGCAGTTCATAGGGAATGGGTACCATTCTTCAATAGAAGATAGGAATTTCTCAGTCTATCTCCTGCTGACCAGGGACTAGCAGGTTAATAATCCTAGATGAGGATTTCTAAAAAGGCCCAAACCAAAGTATATTAATGGCTGACTGCAGAGCAGTAGGCTGTTATGCAAAGATGGCTCCTTCCATTTTCTTTCCCTTTCTACTCTGCTAGTACATAAGCCTAGGAAAGGTTTGGTTTCTGAATCCCAAGCCCATAATTCAGAGCTACAAAAAAGCATCTAAATCCTCCCTCTCCACGTTTTCCTATTATGGTGCATACTCAACCACTTGCATTTGCTGGCTGCCATCAATCCCATTCTGTAGATCTTAACACTCCTAAATATATAGAGAGAATTAAATGTTTTATTTAGTGTGCTCAAATCTACACATGGATTGAGCAACTAGTTTTAAGGCACCATAATAATCAGTAGAACTATACCTAAAGTCCTTACCTTGCATCTACTTTCTTCCTCTAAAAGTAGCTTGTTCAGTTTCACAGGGATGTTACAATGGAGGAATATTTTAATAAAAAAATGTTCAGATATACCATTAATATCATACCCAGAATAACAGACAACAACAAAAGCACAGAAATTGTCATTCTACTCAGAGTACTATTACCATAAGGATTAAAATAACTATCAAGAATTACCTAGTAGTTCTTGTGAAGCCTTAAGGTAGCTAAGTACTTGTATAATTATGTTATATACTCTCTTAGACACTATTGCGTGATTCAGGAAATAGAAAATCAGAAGCAAGGCTCACATGAAAAGCAACACCTGTTGCTACAATACTAGCTCCTTATTGTTGCCCATGATTAGCAGTGGCCACTGTTCTGTGGACTTTGGTATGTAACTAACCGTTATAGAAAAGTTTGTCTCTTTCTTGAAGTAAAAAAACTACTAAGAAAAAAACAACTTAAGAAAGTAACGAAAAAAAGGAAAGCGTAAAATCTAAATTACTTAATTCCTTTCTTTTCCTTCATGTTTATCTGATTAGTCATCTATAAGGTCAGCAGTGGTACTTTCCTCCTTGATACTCAGGTGGAATAGCTTGGATGTTAATTTCTTTGCCTTTTAACTGGGCCTCTTTACATTGGATAGTTAAGTTGCTACCTTCCCCTAAAGCTCAAGATGAAAGAGGTGGGGTTGTCATAGCTCTCTTTAGAAAGACTACATTATATACAGTCATCCTCCTTGACTCTCCAAACAGCTGTCTCGTGGCTCAGCTGAGATTTTCACACTTTCCAAAAAACAGGATGAACTCCAGCTGGCTACCTACCCTAGTTGTAACATCTGATGTGCTTTTATATTACAACTTCCTTTCCTTTCTGCCCCTCTAGGGTGCTCTAAACCTTAGCTACAGTACCCGTTCATATTAAAAAAAAAAAAAAAAAAGTGAGTCTGGTTTCAAGTACGGGTCTTAGAAGATAGGAAGAGAATGCGGTGAAGCACGGAAGGAAAAGTGGAGGATTCCCAAGCGTAGAGAACAAGGGGTACCGACTTCTGGCTCTCTTCTGAGAAGCTGAGGTGCCTTAACCGGCACGCCGGCTTTGGCAGAGCGATGCAGGCAAAGACCTCACCGACCTGGCTGGAGCTATGCCTCACAAGGCGAGGAGAGAAGGGCAGTCCCCCTGCCCCTCCGCGGCGCAACCGCCGGCCGCTACCCCCTCAGCAGTCAAGAGCAAGCGCTCCCAACGGCTGCCGCGCGGGTATTCCTCCGCGTCACGACTACCGCGCCCACGCGTCCCGCCTCCCTCCTGGGGCCGTATAGCGCGGCGGAGGGAGACGGCGAGTCGTGATGGGACACCGGCCGCGAGGGGGCGCTCGCAATGGCTGTGGCGCTGCTCGCGCTCGGAGCTCGCGCCGCTGCCGCTCTCTTCCGGCGGTGTCTGCGCTGCGGTCCGCGCGGGCCCAGCCCCAGGAGCTGAGCCGTAATTGTATCGTAAAGACTGTGCCGGGCACCGAAGAGCTGTGCGCGGCGACGTGCGCGGCTCGGGCTGTTGAAGACCCTTAATACCGTAAATTCCCTTGCTCAGGGGCTGGGTGTGTACCTAGGGAAGGTACATAACGCAACGCAGCGGGAATGCTGCACTGCAAAAATGCGGTTTTTTTCCAGTTACCGAAAATTTTTTTCTGACTATTCAATCCAGGAAAAAATGTTTTTCATGCCGAATTTTTGAAAGATTATTCTTCTCTTTTGGAGCTGAAATAGTTGTTTATGCTAAAATGTCCCTGCGTAACTCCAACGGGTGTCAAATTTGAAGTCTTCTCCTAGCGTCTGTAAGCAACGGCAGAACCCACCCCCCCTCCATACCACAGCGAGCGCAGCGCGGGTGTGTTTGTAAACACGGCTGGAGGCGCAGGGCCAGGTTTCCAAACCACCCCAGGACATCGCCAGTCGGAAGGAGTTAGAAAAAAAAAAAAAGAGCACCACGCCATTGGAGCGGGTACCTCAGGCGTTTGCAGGGTACCCTCGGCCTGCGAGCGGCAGCTAGAGGGACGCATCGCCACCTCAACGCGGAGCAGCCTTGGTTTCATTCCAGGCTTCAGCTAACTAACTCCACAGACAGGAGGCTCCTTCCCGTTAACGCCGACGGGAAGGAACAGGCACCCCTGGACCTGACCACAAAACCCTGCAACGTTCCGCGGCCGCCTCTGCCAGGCAGCGACCCGGACGCAGGCGGGGCGCAGCGGAGCACCGCCTTCCCGCGGGCACCAGCACCTCCTCCTCTCCTCTGCCGACATGGCGGCCGCGGCAGAGCTCAGCGGCCTCAGCGACGAGGCGGCCTATGGCGCCTGCTCGGAGCCGGATGCCAGCACGAAGGTGGGGTGCGTGGGGGTGACGAGGGCGCCCCGGGGCTGCTGGCGCCGGGAGGGTCTGCGGCAGAGCCCGTACCGCCCCGCTCGCTCTCTCGCTGGGCGGACGTGCGGTGGATGGGAGGTGGCATGGAGCCGGCAAGAGTCCCGGTGTCGGGGAGGGAAAGGGCCGGGGGTTGCTCGGCTTCCTTTATGCGGGGAGACCGGCCCGGCGGGAGGGGGGCAGCCCGGCGTCGGCCAGCCCGACTCGGTTTCGCGATCGTGGTGAAGGGCGGGCCCGTTGGGCCGGCCGCCGTGAGCCCCCGTCCTGCCCTGCGCCGAGGCCCGGCCAGCCGCGGAGCACTGGGGCGGGTGGGCGCCTCTGCCGGGGCTCGGTCAGGCTGGAGCTGACGAGAGCAAGCGGCCGCTCTGCGCTCGGCCGTGGGGTAATTGGGCAATCCGGGGGCTCCTCAGCCAGCACGTGCCAGGGTTGCAAAAAAAATTCCCCCAAACATTTTTATTTTTGGGGGGAGAACCTTGTAATTGCATTTCAGTTGTTCTGCATCTGTTTGGGGTTTTTTTTGTTGTTGGGTTTGGTTTTTTTTTTTAAATACATATGTCAAGGCTGTCCTACCATTTACTTTTCATCCACTTAGTTGTTGTTAGCCCTTGGTAGATAAAGTTACCCAGTGGCTTCAGGCAGATACCCTTACAGAATTGCAGGCTGGTTTTGCTTCCAAGATATAATCAAGCTTGACAAAAATTCAACACCTGTGCAATGGAATGATAAAAATAATGAGTTTAGGAGTTTAGCTTTGTTTAAATTCTGTGTCTGCAGTGAGGCCCGATATCTAATATTCATGTGCCTAGTGTGCTTGCATGCAAAGTGGTTCATGTGCAGCACAGCTCTGTAAAAGAATAATAAAGGTAAGAATGATACCCTTCTTTTGATACCACTGATAATATATATTGAGTGATACCAGTGGTGGTTTTGTTTATTTGTTTTAAAACATGATGTTACAAAGGCTTATTTATTTAACACAAATCTGTATGCATAAGATAAGGACAAAAGGGTTTATTTACGCTTACTGTAGTGCTCTATTTGTTACTTCTAAACCTGCTCGTTTTAGATTCATAATTAACTGGCATTTTTGTTAACATCCATAATTAAATTCTGGTTGATGCATAAACAATATATGATTTTTCCTCCAGGATTTTTTGTTGCAGCAGACGATGTTGAGAGTAAAGGATCCTAAGAAGTCACTGGATTTTTATACAAGAGTTCTTGGAATGACGTGAGTAGAAGTTGTCTGCCACAATAAGTTTGTTTTTTACTACTAATCTTCTGAAAAGAAAAGTTTCTGTTATTTTGATGTAGTTACTAATTGGTCTAACTACATAAACAATGCTGGCCCATCAGCTGATGCCCAATTAGACAGTCTGGCAATCTCTGAGAACTCCTACAGCACAGTTAATGCCAAAGCTGCAATTGAACTAATACTGGCCTTGACTAGGAATTTCTTTTTTTCTTAAATAGGTCATTAATTATTAGCATACAACTTGCTTACTTCCTCCTCACTGAGCCTGCAGCTAACTGGTAACTTTTATGACAGCACTTATGTTCAGGAGTCATTGCTATAGATCTTGAAATTAAGTTTTCTACTAGTTCTCAGAGGTGGCTTATGACCACCTCTGGTCATAAGAGACCAAGGCAGTGGAAACTGGAGACAAGGTCCAAACTCAGTCTTTTGGAGAAGGCTGTTGGGAGGCAGATGCCCTGCAGTAGCCCAGCGTGTTTATGCTAAGGCTCTATGCACATTCTTGACATTTGAAATGAGTTATTTCAAAACAAAATTCTAGCATATTTTTAAACATCTTGAAATGAGTCCAAACTAGAGTAAAATAAACTACTTCCACTTTAGTGAAGGTGTGGGTGTGAGAAAATAAAAATTAAATACCTAATATTCTGAAAAAGAAATCAGATTCATTTTGCATGCCTACTTGTTCTGGTTAAATGTCCTACATAAAAATGCATACCTCAAGTATTTTTTAGTTGATTAAATTGTCACATCTGAAATGGATTTTATCATTATACCTAGTTATTGAAATTGTAAAAATACTTCATCTAAAGCTATGTTTGTTTTTTAATCCTGCTGTGTTCTTAAACTTTGTCTGGTGCCAGTGAGCTCCCCAGAACAAGTAAGTTTCAAAGTAAATCTTTTTATTCCTTGGTGATACTTTAAAGTGGATAAACTTAAAGATCTTCCTGAGGAAATACGGGTAACAGAGTGGCAACCTCAACGTGAGCCTTTGTACTGGCTTTGCTATTCAGTTACTGATAGTTAGGCTTTTAAGCATCTGATTCTTCTAATTTCTGTATGTTTGTAATGTGTTCTGGAGTGTTTCTATTTGATAGTTCAAAATGTAGCTATTTTAAGATGGGGATTACAGTCAGAAAGGCAAAAAATCACAGCAATAATTCTTCCTTGGGGAAAGCATCTTGGTTTATTTGCAAGCTACCTGATTACCTTTTAACGTTACTATTTCAAAATAATTCTTGCCATTTAGACTGCTTCAAAAATTTGACTTTCCTACTATGAAGTTCTCTCTCTATTTCCTGGCGTATGAAGATATAAATGATATCCCGAAAGATAAAACTGAGCGAACAGCCTGGACCTTCTCTAGAAAAGCTACACTTGAACTGACACAGTAAGTATTAATATAATGAGAGATGACATTTAGCTAACAGTGGTTAAACAGAAGTGGATGAGTGTAAATCCTGTTGGATTGAATAAAAAATGTAATCATTACTGTGGAAACATCTTCACTGTCATATAGCCTTAAAATACTACTAAGATCTTGGATGCTTGGGAAGCTTAATCTTTCTCTTTTCTGAGGTCTTTCAGATTGCTAGGTGAACAGTGGTACGTAAATATGAAATAATGCTTGCTATATTTTGAGTATGCATGCCATCTGGGTAGGGAAGGCACAGAATTTAGGAAAACCCAATGTGGTTAGAACCTTCTTTGGATCCCCAGAGCATCCTAGTAATGGATAACCATTGCTTTTGGAATCTGTTCAAAAGAGGTATTAAGTCAAAACATAAACTTCCAATAAACAGGACAATTTGGTTAATGCTACTAATCATTGTAATTGTGCAGAAAGAATCTCCCAAATACCCCACTGTCTTGCTTAGCTTCAGGACCTGCTACCCTCACTGTTTGTTCCCCAATGACAGGTAGATAAACTGACTCATGCTGTGCAACCTTCTTTCTAATCTGAATGAGACAGGAATGTCTCTGACTCATTCAAATGTAGAGCCTGAATACTAGTGAAGGGGTGTGAACATGACTGGATTAGTCCAGAGACTATCCCTAGGACCTGTGACTAGGGAAAATCTTGATACTTTAATGAATGCAGCCAACAGCTGAAATTCTGTAGTTTCTTAGGAGAAATAACTTACCCTCCTGAGGAAAGTGAACTTTTAGGATTTGTTAATTTTGATGCTTTTCTTCAATATGTAATAATTACTTCTTACAGCAACTGGGGCACTGAAAATGATGAAAATCAGTCTTATCACAATGGCAATTCAGATCCCCGAGGATTTGGTAGGTCTTTAGTTTTGTGTCTGTAGTTTTTAAGCTTTGGCTTATTGTGATTAGATTCCCCCCCCCTTGTGTATTGGGGAAAAATGGAGTTTCAAATGTTTTTAGAAAACACCGATATAAATTCTGTGCAAGGGTTATTGGGTAAGTATTGCTGTAGGCTTTTTTTTTTTTGTGAGAACTAGTGGAGAAAATATTTTAAACTTGCATGGATGAAAAGACATTTCTAGTAGGTTACTTTGACAAAAGCATACTAGCACTAGGAAAGAAGGGAACTTGCATCTCATCCCATCCTTTATCCTTCCAGCACGTATGCTGTGAAAGATTGTGAAAATAGGTAAACAAATGTGTTTCACAGTAATGAGCCACAGTTACACTGTTTATAAAGAATCTAATCCTTTGGCAAGCAAATGCATGCTAATAGTAACTACTGAATGGAGAACAGTAATTGCTCTTGTGTATTAGATTATCCTGGTGTTTAGACTGATTTACATTTGGATTTCTATTTTCTAATCCACTGGTTACCCATTTTAAGCTAGGAGAATTCCGTTTGTCTGTAGCATTGAGGCTAGTATTTGTGTGGCTTGATTTGATATTTTGAGTGCTTGAAAGGTCACTGGCTTGTGAAATAAGTTTCATACTCAAATCTAGCCACTTGACGTTTAAAGCTTCTGAATTGATTTGTAAGATCATGCCTTGGATAGTGCTAGTGTTAGTCTCTACAAATACAGCATTAAGATAAACTTGTACTGTTGAACTGAGCAAATGCAACAAAATCCTGTTATGTGGGCATGTTTTGAGAAAGGAAATACAGATAAAACAGTTTGATAATGATGTTTTTTCCTACTCTAGATAATATTCTCATCTAAACAATATGAGATATTTTAACTGTAAAGTTCCTATGTTAAAAGCCAACTTTCCAATGTTAATACCCACAATGCTCTTCTTTCAGGAAGCAATGTTTTTCTTGTATACAATCATATCTTTTGTGAACCACAGCATGTAAACTTTTTGCACAAGATGAAATGCTGAGCAAACTTTTTCTTACAACATCCAGCAATACTTAGAGCATATTTCACTCTTTTTACTTTGTTGCCCAGGACATATTGGAATTGCTGTCCCTGATGTCAATAAAGCTTGTAAGAGGTTTGAAGAACTAGGAGTGAAATTTGTGAAAAAACCAGATGATGGTAAGTCTTGATCAGAAATGAAAGTCAATTCCTGTCCTTGTTTTTAACATATTCTGTCTAGTAGATCTTCCTGGAAAGCTGGGTAATATGTAGTTGCCACTGCTTAGAAGGTGCTAGAACTAGTTACCCCTGCACCCTCTTACACAGTGGGCAAAACTGACAATAGATCTATCTTGGTAACAATAGTTAATGAGTCTAGCTATGTGCCTTTGGTATGTGGTCTCACCTTCAGTAAAATTCACATGCTCTGTTGATGCCAGTTTACTATGTATACTACTGCCCAGAGTTATTACAGAATTTATTTTAACATGGATCAAATTCACATATCACATCTGTTTGGTTCTTATCACATGAAAATAAGATGACACAGAAGACATAATTACTCCCACCCATTAAAACTGAGTAATTCTTGACTTCTCTGGCTATTTTTATGTAAATCCACCTAATGCCACCTACTAGCTATTATAATTTTAACTGTTCTGTCAGTGTCATGGTTTAACCCCAGCCAGCAACTAAGTACCATGCAGCCGCTCACTCACTTCCCCCCCACCCAGTGGGATGGGGGAGAAGATCAGGAAAAAGAAGTAAAACTCATGGGTTGAGATAAGAACGGTTTAACAGAACAGAAAAGAAGAAACTAATAATGATAACACTAATAAAATGACAGCAGGCAATTGCCTATCACCCGCCAATCGACACCCAGTTAGTCCCCGAGTGGCGATCCCCCCGCCCCCACTCCCCCCAGTTTATACACTAGATGTGACATCACATGGCATGGAATACACTGTTGGCCACTTTGGGTCAGCTGCCGTGGCTGTGTCCTGTGCCAACTTCTTGTGCCCCTCCAGCTTTCTTGCTGGCTGGGCTTGAGAAGCTGAAAAATCCTTGACTTCAGACTAAACATTACTTAGCAACAAGTGAAAACATCAGTGTTATCAACATTCTTCTCATAACCAACTCAAAACATAGTACTGTACCAGCTACTAGAAAGGCAATTAACTCTATCCCAACTGAAACCAGGACAGTCAGCTTTGGTAGAAATAGCCTCATTAGTCTATATCTGACTTGTATAACTTTTTAGTAAAAAATGCATAATGTATAGCTCAAATGTCTAGAGAGTACATAAACAAAGAATCTCTATGTTAAAATAGCCTAAAATGCAGAAATCAGTGGAGAGAAGTCTTGCATTTTTCAACTGGATTCTCTTTCATGAAGAGACCTCACAAGAGTTTTAGGACTGATGCATTCCAAAACAGACATCTAATACCAGCAGCAGGCACAAATCTGTGGTAGTTCTTCCTTCTGGCTATAGAAACTAGACTGTTGCCTGTACTAATGGTGGGGTTTTTTTAGTTTGAAGGTAACATTAGTACATGAAGCTTCAGTGTACACATACTGGAATTGATCTAGATTTCTTGCTAAAGGAGTAAGAACACATAATTGAAAAGAGACTTAACTGATTTTCATCTCACTGTTCTCAGCTGAAGCAAATGTAAGAAGTGTAGCTGAAAACTTAACTTGAACAGAGATTTCTTGATTTGAGAATTGAACTTAGTATTTTTAGCATTTTAGAGTTTCTGAGCCCTTTTTAATCTGTTCAGCACCTGTTGAACCCTGAGAGAGTTGAAGAGTGAGGCCCTGACTTTGATTCAGTATCACTGCACAGCTCTAAGTACATAGGAGGAGAAGCTTAGACTGTAAATGGAATAAATCACAGGAAAGAAGTCTTGAACCAGTCAAGGGAAGGGGGAGAGCAAAAGCTCTTTTTTAACATTAAGAAATAAAACTGATGAAGCAAATGCCAAGGAGGAGAAAAAAGTTTTGGACTTCACATTCATTGCAGAGCAGGCTGAGAGACCCGATGTTATTTTTTTCCTACATAACTGAATCAAACATCTACTATTCCCTCAGAAGTTTTTGCAACTAGACTATATTCACTTAGGTTGGTTCTGTTACAGTAAATAGCCTAGTAGAGCAAGTATAATTAAAAGCCTGTGATTAACACTTTAAGATAACATGTTAAGCTGTGCTATCCTGATCGACTGTTGAAGACAACTTTTGGGGACCCTGTTTTAAAGAGCAATATTTTTTCCAACAGTAAAATTTAAAACATTCCTGCCCTGCATTTCTTTGTTTTATGAGGTGATGCAAATGTGTACTGTAAACCACGCTGGGGGGGAAAACCAAACAAAAACCAGTAATGTAAAACTTCATTGTGGAGGCAGGAATGATGGGAGATGAACAGGGCAGAGGAACACAGGATTTTATACTGGCAAAGCAAGTTCAAGAAAATGTGTCAAAGCATCCTGGAGCACAAAGATATTTTTCTGAATTTAGAGGATGAAGACGTATAGGGGCATATGCAGAAAAGTTCAATCAACAAAAGATAGATTTTCAAAGTGACTTTAAACTACAGCTTTGTTGAGAGTAAGAGTGACAATTTAGCATAAAAAGTTCTAATGTTGATTAAAAACTAATCTGGATGTTTTCAGAATTAGCTGTCTAAATTTGAACTAATTCTCATGCAAAGGGAAAAAAAGAAATGTTTTTAAAAGTAGTTGTATTTGACATTAAGAACTAGTCATGTAGTCTTAACTTTATCTTGTTTTTGTTTTTTTTGGTTTTTTTCCTAATAGGTAAAATGAAAGGACTTGCATTTGTTCAGGATCCTGATGGCTACTGGATTGAAATTTTGAATCCTAACCACATGGTGACTCTCACTTAGTTCTAATGAAATATATTATGTAGGAGATGCCCACTTTCAGTCCTCTGGAGAAAATCTGTAGCAGTGTTTGTAAAATTCTCGCTTAATGGAGAGGAATCAGTCGCATAGAGTCTCCTCTAAAACTATCCCCTGGGACCTCACTGTACTTGAATTCCTTTTTTCTTGTCCTGTGATACCGCTGCAATTTGTTTCCAATTAGGAATATTCAACCATTTTTTGGAAGAGCGCCTACACAGATTCTCCTCTTGAATAGTGTTTATGTTAATATTTCACTAAACACTATCAAAAGATAAGTGACTAGAAATTCACTGCATCTCACTAACAACAACAAAAAATCCTGTGTTACTACTGATGAGCTTTAACAAGGAGCAAAAAAACCCGCTTCAGAATATTTTTTTTATGAAGTCAGAAGATCCTGAAGGCTTCATGCCCTATCTTGTATACTAGAAAATAAAATGTCAGACTAACTTTGACTTGAGTAGTAGCATGTTAATGAAAGTCCTAAGCTTACTTATATTATGCCAGGCAAAACTCTTTAAGGAGCGGCCTTAAACAGCCTTGCCTGGAACAAGAAGCTTCGTGGAGGCAATAAATCAGTCCAACAGAAGGAATTCAGTCTTTCAGCTTCTGGCTGCTGATTGACAGCCAAGATAAGAGGTCTCATAGTTGCTAACTCACAGTGATCTTTCTTGTCTCTTCCAACACTAGAAAGAACTTGCTTGTAATTTTTGTTTCAGTGAAAGTCTGGGACTATAAAATGCTCTGTATGTTCTGCATTAGGAAATTAATGAAAAAGAGTATCTGAAACAACAGTTTCCGACTAGTAGATGTTTTGATCTGCCCTCTCAAAATGAGTGACGGTTACTGAAACGATACCTGTAAACAGCAGGAAAACATGTAGCATTTACGTATGTTACACAAATTACTTGTTTTTGTGCTGTTGCACCTGTTACGAATGGTGTAAACCATGTCAAGTTTTGAAATCCTGTTGTTCCTTCCAACAAGGAAAGAAACTCTCTGCACTGTCTTACTGTGGTTCAAGTAGGACTTACCTCCTACTAAGTCTTCAGTTATGTGACTAGTGAATAGTGTAATGGCATTGCAATTGACTTCCAAATAAAGCATTGGTGAAAACTACAAAATAACCTTAAAGCAGTATCACCTGTTGCTTTGCTAATTGTTGAATTCTAGGTAACTGAAAGGGTATTTGTTTTGGTTCATGGATTGGTTTTTGGTAAGAAATCTGGTGGTAAATATGAATTGGGAATACAGTCGTGAAGAAGGTAACTGTGACTTGGTCAACAGGATGTTTTAGTAACTTAGTGATCATGTGCAGAGTTAATAATAACTCTCAATAAGTCTCTGGCTTGTAAGTTAAAACAGAAATGTAGAAAGTACTGCATTTGATTTCTACTATGCTAATGTAGATGTTAATGATTTAAATGCTAAGCGTTGCTGTCCTATGTCCTTATCCGAAAAACCCTTAATTCTGTCTGCCTCATCTTAACAAGATAGCATATATAAACTCAGTAATTTTACAGAGCTCCACATGAAAAATCTTTCATAAAACTTAATCAAAGATATTTTGTTTACCCTTGGAAATGAGTAAAATAGATTATATGCTTCATCTGAGCCTTAGGTGTTGGAAAAAGGAATGTGAGAACTATTGCTCTGCTTAATAGCCCCTACGGATGTGCAATCTTAAATTCATTGGAAGGTAGACATAGTAACTAAAAAAAAAAATCTTTTTTCAGTTTTCTGTTTGTTACATGAAGGAACCCTGATCTTTTAAATTGTCACTTGTATGATATTTTCTGGCTAGTATCTACAGATACTGGTCTTTAGGTGGTGCCTTATCAGTGTCATTCATATACAATAGATTCTTTCCCTTCTTGAGTTATTTGTCAAGTTGCCTTTTTTTCTGCAACAATAAACACTATTGGTTCATGGTTGCATTCTCTATTTGTGCTTTCCTATACTTCCAGAACTAATACCTAGCCTGTTCCATTTCTTGTTCCTTGTGCGGTTAATTATTCTCCTGTATGTTAGGCCATTTTGATAGGGATAATAGTTAGAACTGTTTGGAGTGAGATCTCCTGAGTTAAGTGAGCTCTCTTAATAGCCGTCACCACATGATCTCAGATGTGGGGCTTTTGACATTGCACCCCCTGCCCAAAGCAGGCTAATTCAGCTTAATAAAGTGGCAATGATTTTCTTGAATGCTGAGTTAGTTTTATGCCAAGTTTATCAACCAGAAATAAGGAGCCAGTTTAAGGCTCCTTCATTTCCTGAATGAGTAAATAAAGCTGTTTGTTTTAGCAGAAAGGTTGACTCAGCTGACTCATGAAACCTAACCCTACTTTAAAAAAAGGTACACAATATTGTAGAATACCTCACAGCAGCAATTATGAGAACTCTTAATTTGAAGACTATGGTAGTGTAACAGTACGGTATCTTCTGAAGTTGGTAAGGTGAGAACAGTGCCAAGAAGCATGAGAGCTACAGCAGGAGACAAAACACTCAGTTGATTGCAGCTTACATAGGTTGTGATGGCTAAACTGTGTTTTTCATACACATCCCTTCTCCTGCTGGTGTTCTGAAATAGGAACTTAAAATGAAGTAAAACTCAACTGAAGGACAAGTGCTAACTGCAGTTCATTTACCATTCAGAATCTCTCATTAGGTGGTGCGAGTAGAAAAATTTAGACTAATGGTAGTCTAAGTGAAGTTGTCTAGAAGTAGGTTTTATTTCAGTCAATACACGTGTATCACCTAAAGCTTTATGACCAAGGTGTTGGCAAGGAAAATCTCAATATTTTACAAGCGTGTGACTTAATGGTTCATATTTTACCAACATACAGTGTTTCATTCAGACTTGTTTCGCTGCACTTCAAAGTACAGGTGTGGCTGGAAAAGCTACTGACCCAATTGTATGGAATCCAGTAATTAAAACTGGGATAGTTCATACATCAGATGAGTAAGTCAAAGGGAGTGCATGTGTAGTTCATTAGATAACTGCACGAGGAGGAGCAGGCTATGCTGAAGGTTCTCTGCTTAGTACTCAAATAAAAGTCTATGCATGTTTGCTAAGTTTGGAATGACCCTTGTTTTTTTTTTAATGTGCTTGACAAAGCGTAGACAACGGGATGGATGATGAGGTCATACAGAGGAAACTAGTAAAAAAACCACTGGCATCTACAAACTTGTTACAGCACTATCATGAAGTGGGCAAGGTATGGTTTGGTTTTTTTTACAAAAAAAGTTACTGCTGCTTGCCATACTGAGAACTAATTAAAACCAGTGTTCTCAGTTAGGAAATCCAAGAATAAACTACTGAAGAAAAACACCTAATTATGATTCTCCTAGCCAGCAACAGACGTCAGAGATCTCAGTTCTAAACATTTTTGAAATTATTTAATGGTCTCACTGATGACGGACAATGCTATTTTTATTTCTTCTAAGGCAACACTTCTTTTCTACTAAATAAAGCATGGAATTAAATAGCATGTAGTGCTTTGCCACTTGCAGGGCCTAAATTTAGCTTCATGCAGTACAGCAGTAATTAATCTAGTGGTCACATAGAGACAAGCCCATGTTCTTCTCCTGACAGACAGAAGGAGGTTCTCCGTGCTCAGGGAAGCGGAATACGTACCGACTGGCAAGGGGCTAGCCAGCACACCCTTACTCTTCAACAAAGGAAAGGTGTGCTGTGAATGCGGCCGAGTAACAGCAGATGAGAACGACAGGGAAGGTTAAACCTCAGCTGCTGTTTCCTGAGAGCTGGGCATTGAAGCGTCCCCGCGGCCTGAACGAGTGCCCGGTTTCTGCCCAATGGGGGCATCCGCGGGCGGGTTGGCTGTTGCCCGCAAGCCGGAGGACGCAGCCGGGAAGATCCCGGCAGCCCTACCTGGGACACTCCCGTAGGGAAGTTAAAAATTCCAGCCGCCCCAGGCCTCGCGGCTCGCCTGAGCGGGGGCAGCGGCAGCGCGACCCGACCACCCCCGCCCGCGGGGGGCCGAGCCCCGAGCGTTTTTCCCCCGGCCCGGCGGGTGCCGCTCTGCTAGCGGCCGCCTCCGCTCTATGGCCGGAAGAGGAAACCAGGCGCCGCGCGAACGGCACTACGCAGGCCGAAGCGAGCTTACGGCGCCACCGGGACCCGCTCCCGCGCCGTTCCCGAGGGTGCCTGCCTACGTCAACACGCAGGAGGACGGCTGCTGTTGCTAAGTGACGTCAGCGCGCCCGTTGACGTAGCGGTGGTGGCGGCGGGGCAGGGGGTGGAGGCCTTG